CCTGAAGAGAGAAGATGAAGCGGAAGCAAGCGACCGCCATGGCAACAACTAGCAGCGAGGAAGAAACCTCACCCTCGAAGAAGAAAGGTGCGCAACCGCTTAGCGCACAAATTCCAACTTTCTGATCGAATTACAACCGTTAGAGGGTGCTAGAATGAAATACTGAGTATTCCGCACGGTTTTTTACAATTGATTTTGAAAATCAACGTGCTCGCGTCGACAATAGTCAAAGCGTCAGGGACAAATGCACGTGAGAGAAATGCACATTCGCAGGAGGTAGATGAAGCGATCGACGTCCAGGGATTTTTGCTGCAGGAATGTCAGGCATCTTCCAAGGTTCGCTAAGCCGTACTATGCAAGTGCTGTTGGGGGTATGGCACTGACTTTCTGAATTCATGGGCTTATTTTCTACAGAAATTGGTAGAACAAGCAAAATTGCGAGCAGCAGAGCTACGGCAAGAGATGGAGGAGGGCAAGAAAGTGCTGCTGGATGCACTCGAAGCGGAGAAGGAGAATCTCGGCAAAGGTGCGAGTACGTAATTGAGTGAGAGACATGGTGCATCGGTAAAGCTGACGTGTCTTGTTCTCTTTCATCTGCTTTGTCGTAGATGGGAATGCCATTCCGCGAGCATTTACAATTTTTGTGCGGGCTGTTAGTGGGCCGTACCGAGGACGAAAGTTTTCTATGGACATTGACGTGGTTAGTCGCTTTCATACTGCTAGAACGAAGCCTCACACGCTCACACGGTTTGTTTATCTTGCACGCAGAAACGACAGTCGTCTTGCTTTATTGGACGTTCTACTGGACGAAAATTCCGTCCACCACGAGGCCTGAGTATGCCGAAAGACTCTGAGCTGTCGACCTCACACGGAGAGGTAGTGATAGTTCATTGTTGCTTCTATCGCACAGCAAACTAATGTGTCTGTACTTACAGGTCAAATTGGAGACGACAGGAAAAGTTTTCTTTATCGACTCGGAAAGTACTAACGGCACCCGTATCGACGATGTGGAATTGGAGCCGAAAAAGCCATACGAGCTCACAATTAGCAAACCCATAAAAGTGGAGGTCGGTGCTGGCGAGTACGAGTTCATATTCGAGCAGAAGGCATAGATCAAGATGCCATCGCGTGGCATTTCTCGTCGACTCAGGAGAACCGCAGAAAGTAGCACCGAGTTACTCAGTTATTAGCGGCTGCCGACCACCACACTATAGTATTATATTTCGTGTTTTTTTTCTTTGAATCGTGGAGATCGCGTCAGCTAGAATCCATGTCTTCAGCTTTTAGAAACCTCCAGTTCACACGACCAGCCACCGATGATCTGTAGATCCTAGCGCCCTACGACGGCTCTGCGACTCCTCAACTTTCACCTCCAAAAAGACAGCGCCAGCTTCGCCTCTCTTAAGCGAGGAACATCTAGTTTGAGCCCGAGATCTTCTCCTTGAAGTCGCCCACAGCCTTGTCCGTCTTGTTCAGAGCTTGCTGTGCTTTGGTGTTACCCGAAAACGCCAGTTGGCACGTCGTCCAGCTCGATCCCGCACCTGCACCAGCGCCCAGACCCGTCACCAGTCCGCGACCAGCTCCAGAACCTAAGAATAAAGCATTAAAATGTCAGAAACTGAGCTCTTCCATCGGCCATTAAAGATTCCACTGTAACGTACGAGCCAGCACGAGGGACGTAAGGCCACCAGCCACGAGGCCAGCGCCAAAGTAGAGCGTGAAGTTCTCCAGGCACTTGTCCCACTTCTCGGAGATGCGGTACTCGGACGGGATTTCCTTGTTGTCGCTCATGATGCTCGTCGTCTGCTGCGGCTTCCTGCGTTCTATTTGGACGTGAGGACGGCGAGATACTCGACTTTCAGCCACTCAGAGCTCTGCATTTCTAATTAATTTCGTTAAGTACGATAGTCAATTGGTAAACCATCGAAACGTTGTCAATGGACGAGGAGCGCGTCGTGCTGCTGGGCACGATCCAGGAGCACCAAAGTGTGGACAACAGCTCGCCCTACGTATGCAAGGCTGGAGGAACTCCGGTATGTGGTGAATATTGTTGGTGCTGGACGACAAATTGACATTGACACACATTTACTGTTGACTTTGCACTGCTGGTTAGGCTTGGTATTTGGAGCCACCGTCAGAGGCCAACGGCTTGACGTGCACTAAATGCGGCAAAGGATTGTTCCTGGTTGCGCAAGTGTATGCTCCGGTAGAGACAGATCGGACGCTTTACGTCTTTGGATGCAACTCGGTGGCGTGCACCGAAAACTCCGGCAGTTGGCGAGTGCTACGTGACCAAGTTGAGTCTACAAAGGAAACTCCTGTCGAAGAAGCAGTTGAAGAGGTGGTAAAACAGGTTGACCAGGTGAAGTTGGCGTGGGGCTCAGATAGTGATGATTGTGATTGGAGCGACGATGAGGATGCCACTAAAGCACCAGCTCCAGCGGCTGATCTTGTGGACTTGGAGGCCCTTTTGCAACAGCGAGATGATGCTATGAAGACCAGTACAAAGACACCCAAATCAGCTTCTACTCAGAAGAAGACGGAAGCCGTGAAGAAGACTGCTGCAACTGACACATGCAACGCCTTCCCGGCGCTGCCAATTGAGGTGATTGACGAGCCGTACGAAGACTACACGGCTGAACACGACTTTGCTCATGAAAACCGCCTGCTTGAGGAGTATATGAAACAAGAGGAAGAAGAGAAGTCTACAGATATTAAAGATTTGCGCACGGTCATCACAAATTCAAAGAAGAAGGGAGGCGCATCGCAATCAGGTGGATCGGGCTCCTCATCTGGAGAGTCTTACGAAAAGACTCCAGCAGCGCAGCGACATCTGCTGCGTTTTCAGAAGCGCATTAATCGCTGTCCTCTCCAGTGCCTTCGGTACGATTACGGCGGTGAACCGCTGTGGCCAGTGGTGATTCCTCAAAACCTGAAGGTCCCGCCTTGCGCTGGATGCGGAGCAGAACGGTCATTTGAGATGCAGCTAACTCCGACGATTAACTATTTCCTGAAGGTGGATGAGTATGCCTCAGCTGACAATGCTTCGCAGCAGAAATCTTCGCCTGCTATCGACAGTACTTCATCCGATGCTCCCAAAGCAGTCGTACCCCCTGGTGGCATGGACTGGCTCAGTCTCATCGTGTATTGCTGCTCTGCTAGCTGTGCACAGAGTCACGAGGAATTCGTCTACGTCGTGCCATCACCGACATCGTAAGCAATCCTAAGCAAAATAGAGTTTACTTGCATTTCAAATGCCTCTCTCATGGCCGTGGCCAGGAGGCTAATCAACCATCATTCTCTTCGTGCAACATTCGCCTTGGTGCAACATTCTAAGACAACCATTCCTCAACCGCTCGAGTATCGGCCGACCGACAATGCGGGCGATACGCGGTCGGTTCCTGCCGCGTTCCGGTGTCTCCAGTCGACGCAGCAGCTTGAAACCTCTACACTCACTTTCCCTCGTGCCCAACAATGTTGTGCCAGCTCGACGTAATTTCTCGTTCAGTGCTACGTACCCCACACCCAGTGAGTCTGCCGCTATGGATGACATGGAAGACAAATCTACGCCTCGACTGGTCTGTGGCAAGTGCAACTCGTCGTTAAGCCCCACGAAAGACCTGGTCTTCTTCAAATGGTAATGTTACATCCAAAATATTTTTTTTTATTAACTTCTGGCTTTTACGCTGTCAACGCAGGAGGAATGGCATTCACGTATCAAGCGCAACAGATGAACCGTTGAAGAATTTGTTTCCGGAGGATTCAGTGGAGGAAGATGACGCGAATTGGAAGAAGCACAAGATGCTCTGTATCAAGTGCAATTACCAAGTTGGCACTTTGGCGCGAATCTTTTCGTCGGACAAGGTCTTATTCAGTGCGTCCTGCGTGGCGGTGCAGATGCCGGATGATCAGTCTCCGTTGCTGTCTTTGTCGGGTTATCCTTCATCGCTGCTGAGCTTTACGATGTGGTCAGAGCTGATCTTGATGGCGGAGACACAACCAAAACTCAAGGACTTGCTGCAGATCCGCAGAGTGGATAACATTCAGGAAAACACATCGGAAAGCGCCAAGCTGAACCGTAAACTGCTCATGGCTACAGACTTACAGGAACTGCTACGCACGGTGGATGAAAATGTAAGTGGACTGTGTACGAATTCGAGGCGGATGGGTGGATACTCATCGCTAGTTGTTGTGAAATGCTTGTAGGTTTTCTCTTTGAATCACTATAACATTAGAACGGCTATCGACCGCGCAGGCCGATTTGTGTCGACCAGAACAACACGAGCGAATTTACCGGTGAGAAGTATGAGTTGTGTAAGCAGTGTTTGGCTTATGCTGATGCGTATTCTGTGTACTGTATCATGTTGCAGGCAGTCAGTAATGTGACCAATTTCAGTAAATCCGAAGCTCCCGAAGATGACCTACTAGCAGTTCCGTCGCCAGCCCTGTTTCCGAAGTGGACGACCAAGCCTAACGCCTTGGATACACAGCGGTAAGCCGTTTGGTGTATAAAGAAATACCTGTCTTGTGCTAATCCGATGCGTTTTTCTAATTCAGATTTTGGAAGTTGATTGATGAGACTGAAAAGCTGGTAAACTTTGGCATTGCCGCCTTTAAAACAGGCAGTGCGCTGACCAATTTCACGACTGCTCTGATGCGTCTTGGTGTGGGACGGACGTCCATTCTGCAGTACGTGAAGCTCAATTAGTATGTAGCCGTGGGAAAATCCTATCTTATTAACTTTCTCTTTATTTCTGTCTTGTTTCAGACCTGTAGCAGCGCAAACGGTGTTTATGCTGCAATCCGAGAAAGCGAAAATTAACGCACATGAAGCCTGCATGGTCATGTCGGCGATTACCCACCTGCTACCGAGAGAAAGTCGTCGCCAAGAGTGGGTTCTGGAGTCTTTACAAACCGCAAGCGAGATGGTAATGGCCGAGCTAGATGATGAACACACCAGCGTCGAGGACAAACAGCGAGCTGCTGAAGTGCTTGTCCCACTCGCACGATCATTTCTGTTTGTAGAGAGCTTCGACGAAGATCTGTTCCGCCGAACCTTCAAGGAGGTTAACTCTGGAGCCCTGGACAAGCTGAACATGCCACCGTTTAAGCTGAGAGTGCTTAAGTCGAAGTTGTACCAGGTTCATCTGGACTGCGAGCTCAGTGACCGACCCAGCGAGTTCAGGTTAACATCATCGCTCGAGGAAGAATGCAAGCGAGTGTTTGATGCCCACCAGGCCAAGGCCAAAAGCTCGTCGTTCCGTCTACACCACCTTGTCTGTACTGCTCTGGACGAGATCGGAATGCAGAACGAGACGTTGTACGCTACGGAGACAGGCTATCATCTTGATGTGGTGGCACCGAGGCAGAAAATTGCTATCGAGATCAACCCATCAGACTGTTATCAGGCGTTGGAGCCAAGCGATGAGGACAAGGACCCTAAAACCTTCGGCTTTGTCGACCTGAAGACGCGGCACCTGGAGCTGATGGGCTGGACTGTCATCCAACTGCACGCCGATCGGTTCCAGCAACTAGAAACTCTGGAGGACCGCGTCATGCATCTCAGTATGCTGTTAGAAATCGCCACTTGCCGCGGGCAGAAGGCAAATTCGGCCGCTCGAGAGGCAATTAGGAAGTAAACGAGCACACCTATCACAGTTGATGCAATAGCTTTTTGAATAGACAACCATTCAATGCAAACAAAGGTCATGAGTTTTTGTCAGTTTAATCTCCTCTAAATGCACGACCCAACGTCCACTCTACTCGGACTGCTTGGCTTTCTTCTTCTTGTGTTTCTTGTCCTTCTTATCTTTCTTTGAGGATTTTGTCTCGGCTGCAGGCTCCGCTGTGGTCTCCTCTGAGGACTTTTTGTGCTTTTTGTGTTTCTTCTTATCCTTTTTGGACTTTGGCTTGGGCTCCTCTTCACTGACGACGACTGCCTCCTCCTTGTCGTCCTCGACTGCGGCAACTTCGGTCTGGACCTGCTCGAGTTTCCGCTTCTTACTCTTCTTTTTGGGCTTTTCCTTAGCTTCAGCCTCAGCCTGAGCGGCAGCCTCCTTGGCTGCGCGTTTGGCTTTCTTCTCCTTCTTAAGGCGCTTTTTCTCCTTTTTCGAAAGTTCCTCCTCGTTGTCACTACTGTCGACTTGCTTAGCTTTCTTCTTGTTTTTCTTGTCCTTTTTGGCTTTCTTCTCGCTCACTTCGGTCTCCTCGGCCTCATCTTCCTTGTCCTCCTCCCAGTGTTTGTGCTGGTAGGTGCCCTCGCCCTGGCGCACGAACATGGAATACAGCCCGTTGTTGGGAAGCCCGTCCGAGCGTTTAGCTCCTTTCCTTCCGCCGATCGACGCGAAGCCCAAGCCACCCTGCTCGTCCACACAATGTTAATAAAGCTCAATGTCGCCGTAAAGAAGTCGGTGGTCAACGTGGCGCAACCAGCCGGCTGTGTACGCTGAAATTCTCTTACCTTCTTGCCACCCGGGCGCAGCTTGGACAGCATGTCGTGGAGCCGGATAAGCTTCTCGTCCTCCATCTTCTTGGGTCGTGTCTGCAAGACCTTCCAGGTGCCAGTCGAGGCGAGTGAATTCACGGAACAAGCTCCTCTGCTCCAGTGCTTTTCCCTGTCAAAAGCGAGGCAAGCATTTGTGTGGCGAACACCAAATTCTGTTCTTTGGAGGGACTGGACCTGTCTTTTGTTGACGTCAGTGGTACCAACTAATACTGATTTTCTTAGTGAAAACAAGATAGCGCGTTACCTACACCTGCTCTGTGGGACACTTAAACCGAGGGACGCAGTTGACCCGAGGTTTTATCGCGTCGACCGAGGTTTTTATGTGGCCCGAATGTTGTCATCAATCTCGGTGGAATCAGGAATCTGAAGCGAGCCGGGCCATGTCCCGTTTCCAAAGGACCTTCATATTACGATACTACGTACAAAGACTATCCCCACTTCGTTCTAAGCTTTGGTGATAACGAGGAAAAGCACCTCTACTTATTGATATATTGTATTTTCTATTATGAAGCAAGATTTTTATTCGTTCTAGAGGGTTCGATGTGATTGACACGTGAGTTGGTTTTGGCAACTTTTCAATACGACACTGACTGATACTGCAGCCCTCGCTCAGGGCACCACCTGCAGCTCTCTCACCAGCCGGCACTACCCGGCAGGTCACTTTGCATTCTGCGCCATCAAGAACAGCCCGACTAGCAAGATCAGCAGCATGAGCACCACACCAAACACTTACGCCGACAAAGTACACACACCCGTAGCCGAAGGCGCACACTACAATGACGAGACTGCGCTGCGCCTCGACGTGTCCGCCCCTGGCACGGACAACAAGAAGGGCGATGGCGATAGCTCCGTGCCCATGGATAAGAACGGCCGTCCTCTAGTCAAGTTCTTCAAATGGCACATGACCCGCAAGCAGCGGATTCTCCTCATCAGCGGCCTGGTGATCCTTCTCATCGGTGTGATCCTTCTCATCGTGTTCCTGGCCATCATCCCGGCCATCATCCAGCACTACGTCAACTCGGTGGAACTCAGTATTAACTACCTGGACGTCAAGAGCATCCCGAGCGACACAGCGCTGAACGTCGAGCTGAGCTTCAACGTGCAGCACGATATCGGTATCGCCGCTACCACGGACGACATCACTGCTTCATTACTGTACGGCGGCGTCGCTTTTGGGTCTGTGGTGATCCCCGGTCTTGATATCAAGACGGGTGAGCAGAACTACAACCTGACGGTCGATGGGTCGCTCACGTTGACGGATATCGACGCCTTCAACTTGATGGCGGAGGGTCTGGTTGAGGACTCTGAGATCTCGCTCGAAGCCTCGGCCACCGTAAAGGCGCACACCCTGGGCTTGACTTACGGTGGTCTGGACCTGGAGCGCACGTTGCCACTTAAGGGCTTTAACCAGTTCAGCGATCCCGCTCCGGAGATCGACTACATCGACTGGTTCGGCTGCTCCAACGACGTGTACCAGATGGACATCAACGTGACTTTGACCAACCCGTCCAACATGGGGCTGGACGGCATCGGTGCGCTTAATCTGAGTCTGTACTACGCTGACAGCTATCTGGGTTACGCCGAGTCACTCAAGCCTGAGCTGGGTCTGCCGCGTGGCGAGAGCGTGCAGCTCTTCCGTGCTACGGTGCCGCAGGACTCAACGGCACTCAGCAGCATGGCGCTGGGTGTCGTGGGCGGCAGTGCGCAATTCTACATCACGGGCGACAACCCATACTCGACCGAGTACACGCAGTTCCAGGAAGCTATTAGCAAGGTCAACATGAGCATCCTCTACACGGACGGTCTCTCCAGCTTGGGCTTCAACACGTCGTGTGATATCCTCTCGCTCCTCGCTTAAAGAAGAAAAGTTATTAGATCATGGTAGCGGTAGCAAAAACGAGCTGAACTAGCTATAAAAGTTAGTAAATACTAGTAGTGTGTAACCCTAAGTTGAGCATTCATCGTTGCTGGTACCAGAGAGCAAGAGAAGATCAAGCAAAGATATCGAGCGTATGGCTCTGACTTTCGCTTCCCGCAAGGGAACTGCACCGCTGTCATTACAATGATCGACTATACGTACACTCTAGTAGCCCAGCACGGTCAGGAAATTGGAAACGCACGATGTGTTGAAGGAGACATCATTAAGTCCGTTGTCGTACTCGATAGTCATGTTGACCTTGCTGATGGCCTCCTTGAATTGCACGTACTCAGTCGAGTACGGGTTGTCGCCGCGAACGTTCATCTCAACGCCACCGCTGAAGAAGCCTGTAATGATGCCCTGGAGCGCGGTTGAGTCCTCCGACATGACCACACGGAAGGTTTGATTGCTCAGACCACGCGGCATGCCCAGATCCGGCTTCTCCGAGTAAGCGTAGCCCAGGTAGCTGCTATTGTAGTACACACTCATGTTGAGTGGACCGATACCCTGCAGTCCCATAGTCGACGGGTTATAAACCGACGCGTTGACGTCCATCTCGTAAATGCCATCGCGGCACCCCCACAAGTCGATATGCTGGACTTCAGGATCCAGATCCTGGAACTTGTTAAAACCCAGGAGCGATAGCGTTTGCTCGAAGTTTAGGTTATTGAATGAAAGACCCATAGCGAGAGCGTCGACATCAGCCGTCGCGGTGATCGGGACAGTCTTATCCTGCATCATGGCCTCCGCCATCGCGTTGAAGCCGTCCATATCGGAGATCACCATGGTCGTGTCCATGGTCAAGTTGTAGTTCTGGCTGCCAGACTTGATGTCAAGCGCCTCAATCCCCACTGTGCCGAGCGCCACACCACCGTAGACCAAAGATGCCGTCATCGCTTTGGTGGTGGCGGACACCGGTACATCGTGCTGCAGGTTCACGCTGAAGGTCACATCGATCTCCGAGTCGTTCGGGATGTCGGTGACGTCCATGAAGTTGATAGTGAATACCACCTCGTTCATGTAGTGCTGGATGAGAGCGGGGATGACCACCAGAAAGATAAGAAGAAGGACGATGAGGATGAACAGCAAGATCAGTCCGATGGTGATACACAGTCGCTTCCTACGGCTCATGCGCCATCTAAAGAATTTGACCATCGGGCGACCACGTTTATCCAGCGGAATGCCGTCGTCCTCCTTCTTGTTCTCGCCAACTGGCACAATGGCATCCAAGCGCAGTGGTGTTTCGTCCTGATATTCGACGGAAGGCGTGGTCGCCGGTGTGCGCACCTCCTTGTATCCGTACTGGTTCGGGGTCATTTGTTGCACACTCACGTATCCTAGGTGGTGTAAAAACCGAAGTGGCAGACGATCAAGGAGGCATCGTGGAGTTTCATGAGAGCCACGACATTCGACCCGAATGGGCAGTGGTGCAGCAACACAGATACCCCATGTACAATGTATCCGTAGTCTTCGGCTATGTCAAATGTTGTCTCAGGCGAGCGTTATCAAATTCAAAACAATTAATTAACTATGTATGGAAGGGATTGCAATGAAAGAGGCTTCTTAAACAGAAGCTATGTGGGGTTTGAGAGTTCACGACTGTTAGAATTAGTTGTTTGAGGAATGTAGAGGCCCCAACAGGATGCTGACCGCACACAGAGACGCCAAAAGCAGGTTTGCTGATCAACGAAAGCATATTCCCTCTGTTTAGCGTGATATCAGAAAGATCCGTATTTGTACGTAACGGATTCACTTCATTAAAACAAGTCAAGAATCCTTATTTCAAGGCGCTCCTAATACTAGAAGTCACTATGGACAAAAACAATTGCAACTCTAGAAATTCCGAGTTCCTAAAGCATCTGACAGTCAAGCGTGGCTTGATGACGACTATGATAGTCGGATTATCACTAGGAGATCACTCCGTAGCATCAATACTATTGATTCAATAGTGTCGTTGGTTCAACACTCTTGCCGAGCACTGAAAAGGTTTGTAACACGACAGACTAGCTAAAAGTACTGGTGGTCTTGCAGTGGATAGAGCGTCCCCACTCAGATGTAGTATCTCGTGTGGCTAGTACACTACTACTAGGTATGCACTGTTAAAACAATATGTGCTGGAGTGCTGATACCAACGATATTGCCTTTTTGTTCTCAACAAGTCGGCGATGCTACACGTACGCATTAGCAAGACGCTTTCAGCACGGAATTGCGTTCAACAATTCGACTTTGTAAATAAGGTAAGGGTTATATTATTTTCACGAAGTCAGGCATTTCAGCTCCGATCTACACAGCCTGTGCGGCCACATCGTTGGCATCATGTGCGTCTTCGTCACTCGACGATGCCTCAGCTTCACGAGTAGTCTGTCGGTGCCAGGCGTTGACCAGTTCTAGCTTGCGTGCAGTTTCCGCGTCCATGGCCTCCTCTTCGTCATCGTGAGCCGAAACCGTCACATCCTGCTCGTCCGACTCGGAGTCGGCGGTGTCGTCACTGCTGCTCTCAAGGAGGCCTTCCTTAGCCAACTCGTCCAGCTCAATCGGCTCAGCCGCCGCGGTCGGTGTTGGCGAAGACTTGACAAAGCAGTTCCTCATTTTCACCCAGTTGAGCCCGATACCAGCGAAAGATAAACCCAGACCCACAGTCTGCTCCACGGACAGCACGTGGCCAAACAGAAACACCGAGAGCACGATACTCAGCACCTTGCGGCATGTTCCGATGATAGCCGTGGTCAGAGCACCGAACTTGCTGATGGTGAAGAAGATGAAGGCCTGGCCGAAGGCTCCGGTCAAGCTCAGCATCAGGAGGTTCGGCAGCGACGGCACCACGTACTGAAGGAACACCGGTATTTCACCGTTCACTACCATACCAACAGCGGAGAACAGAGCCTTGTAAATATTGACGTAATACATGAGATCGAAGGCACCAATATGGTAAGCCTCCATAAATTTATCCTCGAGCGCACCGGTAGCTCCGTCGAACAAGAGGGATACAATCAGAAGCGAGAAGCCCAGCACCATGTTGGGTGTGCGTTCCTGCTCCGGTAGACTGTTGTGGCTCTCATTGTGTTGCACAGAGTGGTGCTGTTTCTCATGGGCTGTACCCAGCAGGAAAATCGCCACACCGATGCACAGCACAATAACCGACACGTACTTCTTGAGGGCGTATTTCTTGCCGAGCAGTACGCCCATGATCATAACTGGAATGGATTTGCACGACTTGCCCAGGATACGCGTGATGTACGTCACATACCGCAGAGCCACCATAGACGCGATGGTTGAACCGAAAGCTAGCGCACCGACAATCACCAAGAAGCTCTGAGGCATGGTCGAAGGCTTCTCCTTACGAGCGCGACTCAATCCAATGGCGACCACTGAGTTAAACACACAGAAGACGAAGGTCATGGACAGCTCGCCCAGCACTCGGTGCGTCGTAATCTTCTCCAGCACCACACCATTGAGCGTGAAAGACACCATAATGCCGATGCAGCAATAGGCCAGCAGCCACACGCTCTTCTTGCTGGCTTGTTGCTCCGAAACCTGGTTCACCTCGGCCAATCCACTGTTGCGCATGTCCACCACCGTCACTTCGCTGGGAAGCCGCTTGGGCTCTTGCAAGGACGATGCAACGGCTTTATCGTCCAGCACCACCTCAGCATAGTGCACGCGCTCGCGCGAAGGGGAATCCTCGATGCTGCACACCATCTTAGCTGCTCAATCGAGTGGCTGTGCTTTGTTAACCCTGTAGGCGGCAATTAACCAGCGATCCTGTTTGGCACACTTCTCGGCGTCAAGAGATTCCACTTGTGTCGAGGAAAGAGGTCCAGCGGCCGCGCGGGCGTTAGATGCCTGGTGTCGCCAGAGGTGCACGAGCGGATGCTCTACCGGCGGAGACGTTGCCGAGTGCTGCGTTGACTTGCTGCGCACGCTGATTGGTGGCTCTAATTGGCCAATTACTGGCGCGAAAAGGTTTAGGTCAGCACATGCGCGCACCAATGAGCGACGGCAACTTGTCCAGCGAAGGTGTCTGGGTGAAGTGATGGATCTATCACAATGGCCCGTTGCCCAAACGGAGCAACGGATGGTACATGTAAATGCAGGTATACTGGGCGCAAGTGGCGAGATACGGTGGCTGTGGGAGTGAATCACCCAAAGCGATGGCTGAGCCACCAGCTGTAAGACCTGCAACGCCGGCAACGCGGTTAGTGTACATGTAGCACCAACGACAAGGGCACTGCTTGCAACTTAGCAGCACATTTCATGTACAGTGCCGGTGGTCCTGTTACAATGTAACTTACATGTATTGCACCGCAGCAACAGACTGGCGAAACACAATAAATACTTCAGCATCTGAGTGTCGGTTCTGGTGGTGACGGTGGCAAGAGCGCTTGGCAAGGCTCTTACCATCGCAGGTGTCAGTAGATACTACTCTATCTACTAGATAGAGTGCCTATTAATACACTGTGTTGTGGGCTAGCGGGAGTATGCTGCATGGAGCGAGATGCGCACGCAGATCATCTCGCAGTGAAGGTTCCAGCGATGGTAATCATTGTCACTAAAGCGGGGATTTCACTAGTTGAGGATGTCTACATTAAAGTGGTTGAGCCAATTAGCACGCCGCCATTTCACATGCAGTCATTTATAGTTGCAACGAAGTAGTTGCTATCGTGAGTACAATCCCATACTAGTGGAGGCGTTGCAGTACTATTGTGGGTCATTCCTGGGAAAGCACGTGAATATTGCTCTTTGCCAAAAAAGAAAGAAGACAACAATCGGCAAGTAGAAGCTCACCTCACGTAACAAGCGAACAAGATATGGCATCGACGTCCGTGCTCCAGCACTTCGAAGTGTATCAGAAAGCCCGCGTCACGTTCGTCCAGGCCGTGGCTGAGGCAGCTACACGACCGCAGAACATTGAGGTCATGCAGAATGCCGGTGTGATGCAGCTGCTACGACCATTGCTGCTCGACAACGTACCGAGTATCCAGCAGTCTGCAGCATTGGCACTCGGTCGTCTCGCCAACTACAGTGACGACCTAGCTGAGGCCGTGGTAGGTAACGAAATCCTGCCGCAGCTTGTGTACTCGCTCTCGGAACAAAACCGTTTCTACAAGAAGGCCGCGGCGTTCGTGCTGCGTGCAGTGGCCAAGCACTCTCCGGAACTAGCTCAGGCTGTTGTGGATTCGGGTGCACTGGAGTCGTTAGTGCCGTGTTTGGAAGAGTTCGACCCGACAGTGAAAGAAGCAGCAGCTTGGGCGATTGGCTACATCGCGCAACACACTGGCGAGCTCGCTCAGCACGTAGTGGATGCAGGTGCTGTACCGTTGCTCGTGCTTTGCATCCAAGAGCCAGAGGTAGCGCTCAAGCGCGTGGCAGCGTCTGCGCTTAGTGATATCGCCAAGCACTCTCCGGAGCTAGCTCAAGCTGTTGTCGACCCAGGCACCGTGGCCTACTTAGCTCCTCTAATCCAGCACCCGGACGCCAAGTTAAAGCGGCAAGTGTGCAGTTGTTTGGCGCAGATCTCCAAGCACTCTGTCGATCTGGCTGAGATCGTTGTGGAAGCTGAAATCTTCCCTAACATCCTGTACAACCTCAAGGATATCGACCATACTGTCCGTAAGAATGCCGCCACCTGCATTCGAGAGATAGCCAAGCACACACCAGAGCTCTCGAAGTTGATTGTAAACGCTGGTGGTGCATCTGCACTCGTTGACTACGTGGCGGAGGCGTCAGGCAACAACAAACTACCTGGAATCATGGCAATCGGGTACATTTCGGCCTTTTCAGAAACGTTGGCACTCGCAGTGATCACGTCCAAGGGTATTACACCAGTGAAGAGTGCACTGATCTCCGAACCTGAAGACCATATTAAAGCTGCGAGTGCCTGGACATTGGGCCAAATTGGTCGCCACACACCTGATCACTCGCGTGCAGTAGCCGAAGCGGACGTGCTTCGCCACCTACTAGCCTGCATGATCCACCCGAACAGCTCTGATGACCTCAAGATCAAGTCCAAGCGTGCATTGAAAAGCATCTTGGCCAAATGTACGCATTTGCAAGCTCTGCAGCCGTTGCTTCGCGACGCACCTGTGAAAGTACAAAAGTACATTCTCAAGCAATTCGCTCAAATGTTGCCGCATGATCTTGACGCTCGACGATCGTTTGTGCAGAATGGAGGCTTGGAATTGCTGCAACAGCTCAGTGAAGTTGCAGGTGGAAAGCTCACCGAGTACATTCTCGAAATCAACAACTGTTACCCACCGGAGATCGTGGAGTACTATTCACCACACTACTCCAAGACACTTCTTGACAAGCTCGACGACTATCAGCCTCAGGTGCGGTAAGCTAGTGAGAATCAACGAAGCGTAGGTATATCAACCCTTTTAAGTGCTTTCGGAGCTATGCTTTATTTCAGCGGATAACAAGCTATCATTCAATTCTACTTACACTTTTGCGAGGAAAAAA